CCAAAAAATCCAATACAAATGTGATTCATAACACTTTACTGTTAACGTCACTCTGTACTTGGACCACAGTTGATAAAGCCATTCCGTATAATGCATTTTCCATCAAAATAAGTAGTCCACTTAATTGTGCTCGGCTATGATTTAGTGAAAGATAAAAATGGCAAGAAAGAAACACTGTGACACGTTGATTTGGTATATCCTTCTTATTCTGATTCAGACTTATATTGACCAAAAAATCAGCTCAGATTGACCAAAATTAGGCCAAAAGTCCGTCGCCTTAGGAAAATCGCCGTCTCGCTTTGAAAGAAGTTGTAAAAAAGTGTAGCTTACAGTGCATTTTTCGGTTTGCTAACTAGCAATCTAGGTTGAAAACTATGAGGCTTGCACGAATTAAAAGGATAAATAACAGGTTTCCTTTAAATGGTTTGTACAATCGGACTAGTGACCTGACAGGTGCTCTGTTTCAGTTTCTTGGTTGTAGGAGGATCCTGGTTGACAACGAATCGTAAAAGTGTTTTAAATCTGATTTATACTACACGAGAGCGCAAGCAAATGTAAGTAAATTTTGATGGAAAACCTAATTCTGAGATAAATTTGAGATTAGGCCCTTAACATCGAGGTCGAAATATTATTTATTCTTCGATTCGCAAGTATTAAGTATTAGCGCGCGTGTAGTCTGGTGTGTTTGAATTATTTGTCCTTGCCACGGGAATTATCATGATTGTAGCAATCGTAAATTTAGATAAAAAGTTTTGGTAACTGTTAATGCTGCTTCAAAACTACAGTTCTGTTTTCTTTTGCAGGAGTTTAAAGTTCAAAGTATGCTTCCTTCATCATTGTTTTTTCCTTTGGTCTACTCTGTTCTGTAGAAGTAAGGCCTGATATCTATTCCCATTTCTATTTATTATATAAAATACATATATTTATTTTCATTTTGTACTAGAAATCCTCGCAATTGTATAACGTTTATATTTTATTTTCTCTCTGACAGCAAATGCAGACACATTACGCATTCCTGTTGGAGGACAGCTCGTTTATGACACGACGTCAAAAACAGCAGACCTTTGCCTCTCACCGCACTTGTGTCCACCGTGTGTCCTCGATGCTCTTTGCCATCAGGACAAAAAGCCTAACCTGGGTACTACTGCCGCAACATATTCAACTGAACTGTCCTCGTCATCCACTTCACCATCCCCTACGGCAACGACATCTTCTAGTACCGGGTTAACCTCGACAGCGTCGGCTCCAACCACTGAAACCACTGCACCGACTGAAGGACCGGCCAGCAGCACACCAGCGCCGACTCCATCGAGTAGTACCACAGAGAAGACACAGCCATCAGCTTCTCAGGTGACATCCGCCACGGAAACTACGGAAGCAACGGAATCAACATACACTGCTAGTACATACCCTACAATTCCAACAACAGTTGGTGGTGGAATGGAACAGGGAGGAGGTGAGCTGTTCCTTCTTGTATTTCCGTTTTAGACATTTAAGGTATGTTCTAGAATTTTTTTTTTTTAGAGGACCCTTCTGAAAACCACCACTAGGTGATTGGAGGCCTCCTCTTAGAATATTTATTTATTGCTTATTATTTACTGTTATAAGAAGGTTTATCAATTTATAAAATTTCCTTGCATGGCGAAATAACTATTCGTATTCATCTCTGCGTTGGGTGACTCCCAAGGAGGAATGGAGTCACTGTCGACCACTCAATTTCCGATCTTTTTGTTGTGCTAGTAGTTGTTTGGTAGCATAGGTATGTTCGTAATGCCAGTCTAGTACACAATTTACCATCAACATTCAAGTTAGCATCAAATGTCCGTTTTTATTGACATTGGACATTTTCACTTTTCATTTAAGCAATGTCATTTACACTGAGAGAGAATTTCGATTCTAGTCTACTAAGCCAAAGCTTAAGTCGCACACAGCTAGGCCACTGGCCCACACCTTTGGAGCGTAACTTGGTTTCTGTAGCATGAAGCGTAGTATTTCTAAGCCGAAGTGAGCACGCAGCATCCAGTACATGATACCGTCAGGGAGGAAAAGCCAGCGAGGAAGTTGAGTGTCTTGTCAGAGTGCGACATCATGACCCCAACCAGCGCTCGAAACCTGGGCGTTTGCGCAGAATTTTCTGAGCCAGCAATTTGGCTACCTGTGTCACCCAATTTAATCTGCATGCATATCTGTAATTGAACAAGAGAGGGAAAAGAGACAGAGAAAAATGAAATCCAGTTTTTTTTTAAACATAAACTAAAAGCCTCTACTTTTGCCGTGACAGATTTTCTCCAAGTTGGCTTAAAAGAACATAACAAGTATCGTAAAATACACAATTCACCTGAATTAACTCTGAGCTCACTGCTGAACAGAGATGCACAGTCGACTGCAGAGAGAATTGCGTCTCAGGGAAAACTTGCCCACACTGACGACGTGGAGTTAAATGGACAAGGAGAAAATCTAGGGAAACTTTGTGCCACAGATGAGACTCCAGAGGAGATCATCTCAAAAGTTACGGAGAGATGGTAAGTAAGCATATCAGGATAATTTTTTCCTCACGATTTATATCACAGATTCACCATTGGTCTTGATGTTCTATAGTTAGTGGAAAGACAACTAGATTGAGTGTGGTGTCTTTAGGTACACATGTACGGCCGAGTTTCCTGACTGAGACAAGTATTTATGACTTTCAATGACTTGCCTTTAAACACTCATGACTAGCTGTTTGTGATCCCTTGGTGACCATTAACAACCCCCTCCTCTCTCTCCACTAGCTTTCAGATAAACGCTCCGCTGTTAGGAAAGTTAGAGAGATGAATATGTACATGGGCATGATTATTCTTCATGGAGAAGCCATTACATACCCAACGATCCTGGACGCCATTTTTCCCTTCACCAAAGTGCATCGATCGATCAATTGATTGATTGATTGATTGATTGGTTGGTTGGTGGTTGACTGACTGATTGATCGATTGATTGATCGATCGATCGATCGATGATCGATCGATGATTGATTGATTGATTGATTGATTGATTGATTGATTGGCGATTTTGCCAGATCCCTGTTTCTTCAATCCTTGCATGTTAAAGACGGTAACCTATTTTGCATGTAAGTGCTTACTTATATATATATCGCTTTTCAGACTCGTATTATTCTCATTTTTGATATAACGCATAGGTACAAAGAGGTTTGTAAATACGACTTCAGCAATCCCGGCTGGACAAGTTCAACCGGTCACTTTACACAGCTCGTTTGGGCCTCCACTCAGGAACTTGGACTCGGCTGGGCCACCAGTGATGAGGGTGGCCTCACGTGTTATTATGTTGCAGGGCGTTATAATCCCGAGGGAAACATTGAAAACAGATTTGAAGACAATGTGATGAAAGGCAGTTTTGATTCGTCTTATTGCAATTCTAAACGACACGAATTTAAGCCATTAAGAAAATTAAGAGACTTAATTTGGCCAAAGGGGTATCTCCTAAATGTCGGACAGCTTTATTAACTTCCAGTAATACCCTGTAGTTAAATCGCTTTATAAACTGCTGTAATATCAATTAATTAATTGTTAGCAATTTCTATATTCTACAACATTTGTTTAATCAACGTTTTTGTTATTTTCTGATGTAATTAAATTCCTTTGGTATGGAAAATGGAAAACAGAAAAATACAAAGCGAACCACGTTTGTGAAATAAGAACGTTAACAACGACAGTTTACCCTGGAATGTAAATAACACAGGTCAGTAAATAGTAAATCACGAAGATCCACGGCAGCAGCTATTAAACGCGCCTGAGTCAATTGAGTTGTTAATAATTACATTAGTGACTAACTAATACCGACCGCATTACCCAAAGTTTGTGAATACGTGATCTCTAATTTAATTCCTGGGTCAGGAATGTAAAGAGGGAGTTATGGGTAGGCAGCTATATCTCTTGTTCTATTTGTTTTACCAAGCTGAAATTTTCCGTGATTATAAAACTCGGCGCCCTCCCTTGCCTTGATATATTTCGAGCTAAGAGTCGTGAACTTACAGTGGCGGAAAAATCAAGATAAATTACTAGCGTTTCATAATTAACAGACGAAAGTTTCATACATTACACAAATTCATAGGATATCTACTAGACACAGATACCTTTGATCATGAAGTTGTGTTATAATAAAGCCAGAAAAGCGCATCGTAGCCCTGGGCTTAGCGAGTTCAGTTGGACTCTGAATCCAGCAGTTCTGGTTCGAGCTGTGGCCGGGATCACTGTGCTGTGCTCTAGTTTAACACATTTTCTAGTTGCACCACCATTCTCTACCCAGGATTGCCACAATACGGGAGAGTAACTTGTCGTTGGGCTAATAGTCTCCCCTCCAGGGGACTAGTAGTGCTAGCTTCTTCATGTACAGAGTGCGAGATAAGCTTTCCAAATGTTGAACAGCCTGGCCCAACCCTGAGTTACAACGTAAGCTGTTTATTTATTTATTCCTTATTTTAAAACAGGGTTAGTTTTCGGGATAAATCGTGGGTAGAAGTTTCAATATTACCTTGAAAACCTGCACGAAGCAGTCGACAGTAATCTGACGAAATAAAAAGTTATAATTCTATGGAGGGGGAAAGGTTTCACATCCCTGGGCAAATCTTAGTAATTTTTTATGTCAGTTCTCATTATTAGGTGTAACCATGGCCAGATCATCACATGGTCAAGGAAAAATTTACGCTCGAGTCACTAGCAAATACGATTTCGTAACTGAATCCTATAAATTTTTATTAGAATCTCAAGAGAGGTCTCGTGCCCTTTCGCGGTGGTACTAGGATAAACCAATCAAATTGCGATGTGAGAAACTCCGTGTTATTTTAAGTGTTTGTATTGGGAAAACTCCCACTTGAAATTACAAGTTAAAAGGATATTTCAATTTCGCGCTGACTGGTACATGAAGTGGTCTATAGTGACTGAATTCGGTCACAAGCTGAACACCAGCGACTTTCTAATAATCGTATACATAATATTCATGATGACTTTATTAAAGCTGTAAGCGTTGAAAACAAAGGAGACTCTCCAACAACCAACGGCAGTTCTGCGTCTTCGAAAGAGGTGAGTGGTAATTAAGGCAGAGATATGTGATTTCTTGAAGCCGGCCTTCTGTTTCAGCTAAATAACGACAAATATGTGAAATCGTATATTATATCAAATTACTGTTTAAGTCAAACAATAATTGGCCGGATGTATCAATTTAAAAACTACATTAGTAGGTGTGGAATTAGGCAGGTAATGTCAAAGAAACGAAAGTCAGTTTAACGTCTTTCTGACAGAGAACTTTGGGGCGAGGTGCAATATTGAAGAGCTAGACAATTACTAAGTTTATTAAATGTCTTTGTTTTCCCTTGAAATGTTTTTTTTACTACTCAGACTAAACAAAACAGATCTTCGTATAAGCTCCTGAATTCATTCTTAAATTATGCAATAAATTTAGTAAAACCTCGATAAAGCGAGCAAGCTCGGTTCGAAGAAACCTGCTCTTTTATTTAGTTCCTTGATGACAGCCTTTTATTTCATGTAACGCAAAGTGTTTCTCACTTCCTTTATCGGTTTTCCTCATTTAATTTGCTCCAATTAACTTTCATGGTATTGAATGTCGTTCACAACAATACGATCACTCCCCAATTGAACGGACTAATTGTCCCAAAGATTTCGAGAGTGTACCTTATTGCTAACTCTGTCATTACCTCTACCATTGCGGAGAAAGTAAAATTGTGATTGGGAATTTTTGATTCAGGGTTTGACCCCAAGATGCCGACAGTGCTACCGATTTTTCTTTTCTTTTTTTTTTATTTAATGTCCTACGTTATTAGATCTGCCAGAGCCTAAATTCAAAATTGTGATGGGGACCCGAGCCATTAGAGATATCAAGATAGACCTATGTCACTTTCTTTATCGGTAAACTCAAACAAAACCAATTAAACTTTCTTCTGTGGATAATTAGAATTTTGTGAAGAACTCCTTTCAAAAATGAGCAGAAAATTGGGGACAAAGCTTAGGCAGAGCTTTAAAATACGGCAAGGATAAGCGTTTTTGCTTTAGAATTATGTTTTGTGTTTTGATTTACATTCTTTTTTTTCTTATTTAGAGGTTTTCCTTTAAATAGCACAATGATGTTGCCTTTCATATTCCTGGCCTTAATTCAGGCAACACATGCTAAAAGTGGTAAGTGAACTACAATATACTACAATATTTATTTCGCGAAGCAAACTGAGTTGTTTAATATACGTCATGCATTGCTTTCCGTATCACCTGACCCAGCAAAGGCCGCCAACCACTGTGTGTTTGATCGTGATATTTCTGAAAAGAACAAAATATGCTGATTCAAACCATTCATTTTAGGAAAACATTAGTATTGCTGTGTTGTCTCTCTTAACCGTCCTCCGATTATAATTAAATTAAAAGAAGACTAAACTTTAGTCTGTCAGATAGGTATAGGTAATCGTATGATTAGTCATTTATGATATGAGTGACAAAATTATAAACGCGCGTGCGCGTGTTAATTTGCACTGCGGTGCAAATTAAAGTTTAACGATATCATAATTTGCCTGCTCTCAGCCAATCACTTTTAAGTATTTTCTGTGTCACATAGCAATCCAAATAACATAGGTAACAAGTGAAGAGTAAAGTTTGGGGACGTTTCCATGGATACCAAGTTCCAACGCCATTGTCAGCTATGATGTGAAGTTTATATGAAATAATTCATATACGAACTGCGGTTGTAGATGAAAGTGAAGAATGATCATCGCAGTTAATTTTCCAATTTAAGCAATTGGAAAGAAGAAGCCTGAAAAAANATTAAATTAAAAGAAGACTAAACTTTAGTCTGTCAGATAGGTATAGGTAATCGTATGATTAGTCATTTATAATATGAGTGACAAAATTATAAACGTGCGCGTGTTAATTTGCACTGCGGTACAAATTAAAGTTTAACGATATCATAATTTGCCTGCTCTCAGCCAACCACTTTTAAGTATTTTCTGTGTCACATAGCAATCCAAATAACATAGGCAACAAGTGAAGAGTGAAGTTTGGGGACGTTTCCATGGATACCAAGTTCCAACGCCGTTGTCAGCTATCTCAAGCTAAGGGTGTTCGGGCACTTATTGAGCGCAAACCTGAGCTATATTCATAATGGTTTTAAAAACGAGTTAGATATTTATTGAAAATTCTTTTATTTGATTTGAACTGATTTTAATTTGTTTTAAATGCACTCTTCAATCTTTTCCTAAGCGAGTACAAAGTTTACAGTCTCAGGAGGCGGTTCATTAGTCTCTGGAAAATTGTCCATGGACATTCATGTGGAAGCTAACAACGTACAGGTCCCCAGTTCGATGACCATCCCCACCAGCTCGAGTGGACCTGCGGCCGGATCAACCCCAGCGCCC